ATATAATTGTCAGAGCTGTGCACATTAGATGGAAGTTTGTGAAGGTGAGAGATGAAAAGTCCCCGTTGTAAGAAACATTAACAGGCCCCGTGAGCTTCATACGCTACAGAGGATCGAATGATCGCCCCATTCGTCCTGGTTTCGTTAACGTATACCACGAATGTACCACCCAACCCGTTCCCAGCCGCATAAACACGAGATCTTCGGCACACGCGAAGCGTGATCTACAAAGCACGATGCGGGACTGTGCAAGTGAGTAGAAAAGAATGATATTCGATGCTCGTTTACTCCGAACGTTCCGTGTACACGTGAATAAGTAACACGCATGGATCAATGATGCAACAATCGCGAAGAAGATTTCTTTTATTTTTTTTTTGTTTAGCAAACTTATCGATCGATGTGCACAGCCAAGCAGAAAAGTGGTTCGTTTATAATCAGGGGTAGGTGTTTGGGGGCGAAACGAAAGAGAAGTAAAAGTTGGGACAGAAAAACAATGAAATAAAGAGAGAGAGAGAGAGAGAGAGAGAGAGAGAGAGAGAGAGAGAGAAAATTCACGCAAGGCACGAGTGACGGTGTGAATAGTGAAATAATGAATGAACACATGATTCACAATAGAATAGGAAGAGTGAAAGTATATGATCGTGAACGAAAGGGTTTCTCGCTCCAGAGGGGAGCGAGGGGACGATAACGAGGGGGTGAAAGAAACTCGTACAAACCGGGGATACGTGATGATTCGGTGGAGAGAAGAGGTGGAGATCAAACGTAAAAAATAAATAGATATAAGTAAATATATAGAGAAAGAAAGAGCAGCGATGATGTTGCCATGTACCTGGGAGGTAGGGAGACCATGGCTGTGTTCCGAAACTACAGTAGCCTCTATGCCTCCCCACTCACTCCTCTTGATTCAGTATTTCGTCTTATTCTCACAGATCTATTTGTTCTTTGCTTTGTTCACGACATATGTACGTACGTTGGATTATCCACCAAATCCAATCAATTGACTCTGAACGATTGCACAGCTTGTTGTCAAGTGGGTCCACAACCAAAGGTGGAGGGGTAACGTGTGGCGGGGGGGTTTAAAGGCCGACGACGCCCCGCCCCTGCCTCTTATCTCACTCACTCTGTAAAACTTTACCTAGTTTGGAAACACAGTCGTGGTTCAGTCAAAATCATGTCATAAAATGGTATTCAGTCGCTCGAATTAGTCACGTGACGTCCAATTCTTCTAAAGGACGGGTTCGTCACGTGTGCGGAGACATAATTCATTCGTTTTTTTTTTTTTTTTGTTTTTTTTTTTAATTGTTTCTCTCGCGCATCGCAATGCGACGCGCCGCCAGCTTACTCACCCCTGCCTCTAAGTCGCCCGCGTCCACAAGCGAGCTTGCAATTTGAATGGGCCCATCAACTTTTTTATGAGGAACGAACTGGTCGGCAAAATAATTGACAAAAATCAGCATGATACTCATGATAGTGATACATAACGCAGACGCGCACACAAACAACTCGCAAACGACCATCGCGTCGAACAACGAGGGTATCGATTAAGACGATACCGAAGAATATACAGATTCGGATAATTTGCAATTTTTAGCTTATCGTTTTGTAACTTTGTCTATAATGAACGATAATGTAATCAACGTAAATATTTTCTTCTTTTCTTTTATAATTGTAATTATTTTGTAACTTACTAATTTGTAATTAATCATTCGTGAACTAGAGTTGTTAGGAATTCGTCGAACACCTTTTCTGCTTTAACGAAACACAATTTTTAATTAAATAAGTTCTGTTTCGAGCTGTTTTTATGTTAATTCTGATACCATATTTTGTTTTGAAAAATAATGTTTTGTAACGAACAATATTCCTAAGCCTCTACGAAAGTTTATTTAATTAAGTCAGAATTTTACAAATTGAACATCAAACAAAACTATATACAGTTTTGACGTTACTTTAATGTCCAAGCGCTTATTAAAATTCATAATTAATATTCTTGTTTCTGTTAATTAACACTGTTTTAATATTACGACGAGCATTTTGTTCGACGACTAAAAAAAACTTGTTATAAGCGTTGAGCCATGAGTCACAGTTCTTGAGACAATTTACATTCAAACCATGTTATTGTTCGTTAGAAACCGAACTTTTTTCATATTCAACATTTTTTTCTAGCTCCAGTACCTCTCGAGAAATTTACATACGTATTTCATTCAGAAATTCGAGAGTAGTTTTCACCCTCTGAACATGAATATCAATATTCTTTGTAAGATTAGAATTTCCTTTTACAGTGGGTGTAGAAAGTATTCGTACACCGATAAATTTCCAAAAAAACTATGTGAATTGTAATGTATTAACTTTTTTTTTATAAACAATGATATTCTACATATTCTTGGAAATCTCTAGAATAGATACAGTACGAAAAGATTAGGTATTTTGTATAAGTGAGAAATCAACAAGAAAAAACAATAAATCGATAGAAATACAAAAGCAATAAGTATTCGTACAAGTGTAAGTTGCTCTTCGAAGCATTAAATTAATTAAATTATTAGTTATTCGAAGTGGGATCTTCTTCAATTCCTCTATTAGAGCCATTTTTAAAAGTACTTTACTGGAAATTTGATGTTTTCTAGTTCGTACGGAGCAGTAAACTAATGTGTTTACGTTACAAACTCTACTGCAAATGGTTCGTCATAAAAATCGTATAAATATTTATTGCTTCTATACTTTTACCCACTTTTCGCATTTTTTTGTTAATTTCACAAATTATATTAACTAGTAAATGTTGTTTGGACTATATCTATCTTAGAGATTTCCGAGAATATGTAGAATATCATTGATTATAAAAAAAGGAGTTAAGAAACTACAATTTCACACAAAACTTTTTTGGGAAATTGATCGGTGTACGAATACATTCTACACGCACTGTATGTTTCGAGGAAGTGTTATGCTTATCACTATATAGGGAAGTAGTAATTTCTCGATATATTTTGCACTTTCCCTACTAAAAATTATAAACTAACGCAAGTTGAATGGTTGAATGATTCTACTTCAACGTCCCATCTTCGTAAACAATGTGCAATTGCTATCGCGTATCGACACAGAATTGGTCACGTAAGGCATATCTTGAATGCTGTGTTTACAAACAAACCGGGCCTGGAATTACTCTATATATAGTGCATACCTCATAATATCCAAGTATCCGAATATTAAAGTAACGTTAAAATGAACTATTGTTTTATATGAGACTTATCCGATATATTTTATAAAAAATATTCCATAAAAATCAAGCATTTGAGTGGAATAGTTTGTATTATATTTACAATAATGAAGCAAGTGAAGATAATAACTAAACAAAAGTAAGATTAATAACAAGTTTCAATGATTATATCTTCTATATTTATACTTGTATTATAATATTTTATCTCCGCTATTATCAACAAACGAGGTTGACGCTTGACAAACGAGAAATATGTATAGCACACACTTTATAAGAAACTACGAATAAAATAAATTAACTATACACTTTTGTTACTATAATCAATATTTCAATGCAATATATTCTCCACTTACTTTATCTTTCATCGTACAGACAAAGTTATAAAACGACAATTTAAAAAGTGTTAAGTGTCTGGATATTATAATTACTCGCCGTACATATTCGTGTATTCTTGCGTATATCTCTCGGTTATCAAGCGGGATCTCTGTTCAATCGCACGCGAAATCTGTCGTGGCGTTTCACACGTGCAGACAACGATCAGCGAACGCGTATACGCTCGATGTGCGAATCAACAAACGAAATCATCGGCTTGACCATACGTTTTCCACCGTCTCGTCGATATTCTCTGTTACATCGCGCATGGTGTGTCATTGCGCGTTTATTTGTGTACGTGACTTCGAAAGAACGTGACATGACATCGAATGGAATGAGCAATAAGTGGTAAGCCTGCGAGCGCCGCAGCCAAAAAAAGAATTCATGTAAAAACCGTTTTAACAAACAAATCACCGAGAAGTCTCGATATTTACTGTATATGACCGAGGGTGTGTAAGTATGTACAAGAATAGGACTAGAGCGAGTGTGATTTATGTATATATGATAAATGGCACGGCACAAAGCCTTGCATTGCATTCTCTGATACATAAAAAGTCTATATAAAATGATAAGCAGGGAAAACTTGTCTGTCTTGTTTGTTTTGTTTTTCTTGTATTCTTTTCTTTCTTTTTTTTTCCATTTACTTTTCTTTTCCTTTCATTGAAAAATGACAAAGTGAACGACGGCACCGCCACTTAGGCCGGGAATTACCTGGATGCGTTTAGAGAACATTGCAAAAACAATTTGGACATTTGAAAAAGAACAATGTTCGTGGAAATGGTTCGTTGGATAGTAATTCTTGTCTACGAGAGAGCTTATGATCGATAAGTAAGTGCTATCGATTCGGGTACTTGAAGGCGAATAATAGAGAGCGAGAAGTGTTCTCTTAATTGGTATGCAAGTCTTAAGAGCTTAAATACGCTGTTCTACTGTACTGCCGTGGCACTAGACTAAGTTAATTCGAGTAAAACTTTAAAGAGGTGGAAAATTGTAAGATCTCAAACTTTAATCAAAGCTACATCGGAGCGTTTCGAACGCAAGGGAGGCTAAAGTAAATTCTACGTTTTAATCGCTTAAGAAAAAAGAATAGATTATGTGATTTCTATGCAATAACCTAGAAAGAGATCACTACGGAATATTAATACAGGATCCTAGGAGGAGGCGCTAAACTATGAAATCAGACTTTAAAAGTTACTATGAATCCTCGAATCAGACTGACGAAACGCCAAGATCGAAGATTCATGATCGACGAACGATATTTTTCCAACGGATCTCAGTAAGTATATGCGCGTAATCTCGAGTTCATTTTGTCTAAGAAAGAAATGTACGACGCATCGCGAGTCGAGGGCAATAAAAGAAAGAAAACATGGCGAAATCCACGAGACTTTCGTGACGAGAGAAAAACGTATCTGGTAAATCCGGAGAAATCGGTGAAAACGAAAACGATCGTCAGTTATCGGGTGGATGGGTACATCCTGTACATCCAACAATCCAGATAATTCTCAAAGACGTCGGTGGCGACGCCAGCCGTACAGTCCCCGACGCTTAATTACTCTTAGCCTATGGAGACTTGATATCTCATTAAAACTAAATGCAACTTAGTAAACATTTCTCGGTACAATATCGAAGTAAACTCAGACCTTGTTTATTTAAACAACTGGAAACGGATCGCAGAACACTCGAATACTCCCACCAGTCAAATGAACCTCCTAAAGAATTTTATAGAATTCACAGTCTGTATTTTATGAGAGGAATATAAAATAACTAAAATAACACATGTACAAAATTTAGAAAGAACGAAATGAGAAGAATGTCGAAAGGAATCGTACAAGTATTGGCTATTCGAGTTAAAGAATATTCAAAACAATAGATCGCTCTATTGCAGAGGTGAGAAATTGGTTAGAAGGTATAATCTCCTAGATTATATTGTATAATTGGATAGTATAGCTTTCACAGGTGTGAAAAGGCTTCAGTCCGTGTCGTCATGATTCCCCACTGGGATTACGAGAATCATTATAAAGAGCTTTAGAAAAGAAGCTTAAGAATTTTGCTTTTTAATTACAATATTACTATAAATCGATAAATGTTAGGTATTACATCACAGGAATAAGGATAATTGGTTGCTCCGTGAAAGTACAATTCATTGTAATAAGTTAGCTCATAATAGTCATTACAAGCAGCATTATATATATATATATATTATAGTTTACAAAATAAAAATTAAGATAAAGTGGAAATGTTGGACTATTCTGGATCAGGACATAATAAATATAAAAAAATTAGATCAATCCGATATTTAACTGTTCGATAAGATTACATGGGTTGGTTTTAAATAATATTTTATTGTTGATATCTATACTTCAACAATTCTGAATTTGTTTATTATTGAGAACGCCTAGAATTGATTATTCTAAAAACGTATGTGTATAGAGAACAATTTGATGATCGAACCATCGATAAAATTACATGGATTGTTTTTAAATAATATTTTATTGTTGATGACTATACTTCCACAATTCTGAATTTGTTTATTATTGAACCATCATTGATATATGTATTAGGATGGCTTGTTTCTGAACTATAGCATACTTTGCTCGAATCTTTTCCTAGAAGGCATGGTTAAACAATAAAAACTGATAAGAGACACACCAAATATAAAGTAAAATTTATACATTGTACTTTCTTTTAATTTCCTTTTTCTCGACGGTGAGTGTATTCGAATATCGCACTATTTCTTCGATACTTTAGTAATCTTCTGTTGTTTACATTGTACAGGCAAGAAGAGTGATCAATTTAGATGAATTACCTACAAATTACCTATTCCTATTCATCGTATCAAGACGTAACAAATGCAAAACCCAGAGAACTGCACACCTAGCTAAGATTCTTACCAAGTCATCTCGCCTCTTCCAACCATGAGTAACGTAAGCGTCAGGGAGTGTACAACGTCCTCGGCAAAATCTATCGTACGTATCGTGTGTTTGAAACATAAACTCTCCCCCTCTGTGGTGGTGTCGCTCCAAGTCCGAACTCGCAACCGGGAAGCTCGTGTCGGTTAAAAAAACGCGTGATAATGAAATCATCCAACGCGTGGAGGTGTTTTCACATTAAAAAGTAAGTAAGTAAAAAAAAAAAAAAAATGAAAACGAAAAACGTTAAGGTAGGATCTATGGGTACGCGGAAACCTACCTTACAAGCATCTCCCGTAGAGTGGCTTCATCGTCCTCCTGTACCTCTTCCTGCGTCTCATTACTGAACGAGCCGCGGCTTGGGTGATGATGCTGGTAACGCCTGCCGGTCGGCCTACCGGTGCTGCCGACTGGATACTGTCCGTGCAGCCCGTGATGATGATGGTGATAGTGATCTGAGTTGGTGGAGGCCGAGTGCAAGTAGCGGGCGACGGTGCTGGTTGCACGCCCCCTGGTCAGCTTGAGGCCGGTAGCACGCGGTAGTACGGCGCCTGTACCGGACTCCACGTAGCTTCTGCGCGCGGCATACTGCTCTTCCTCCACCCTGATGATCTCCTGACGTCCGCTCGATGCCCGATCGGCCGATCTGCCGTGCGATTGCGCACTAGTCCCGACACTTTTGTTGCTTTTGCGTCCGTGAACGACGGCCGCGTTGATTGCGCACTTGTCGCTACCTTTGCTATGTCTCCACCAGCTGCTACCGCCGACCTGTGCACCAAAATCGAGCCTCTCCACCTCCTCCTCTTCTTCTTCCTCTTCCTCCTCCTCCTCCTCCTCCTCCTCCTCCTCGACGGCGGCACCAGCCGGCCCTGGCTCCGTATCCTGAGACCCCGAAAGGCCCGCGATTTCCTCGTAGAGGCACTCTGAATCCGGATCCGTCGACACTGCCGCGCTCTGCCACAACTGGTTTATTGGCTTGAAGCCGCGTGAATCGGCCATCGTTTGAGCTACGCCAGGACACAGAGACACAGACAATTTATGCAATCGACATCGTCCTCTGGATCGTCCTAACTAGTACCATTTTCGGTGTGCTGGTTTTTTGTAAGGCACTGCGAGGTGCGATCGAAAAGTCCTGAGACTGGATGAATCGTAATAGGGCTTATCCTTGGACGTTATTGTTTCAACCCTTGGCGGACGATCGGTCGATCGGGTGATCGATTATCGCCTGTTTGCGTTCAACGTGCACACGTGAGCATATGATCCCACCGGGCCGACGCAAGGTTCCGAAGCGGACACGGCTGTGTGTGCTTGTGAACTGAAGCTGGAATGGACCCAATGGGCTCTTATGCTACGATAGAGATCTATCAAACACGGGGTTATTGTATAGCGAGAGAATATATCGCTCTGTGTATACCCAATGCGTGGAAGATTCTTCCGTGCACGTGTATTCTATGTATATTTCGAGCACGATGAGCTTACGAGTACTTGAGACTGCCAATGGCTATAACCACCTAGGTCCGGGGACCAATAATCGATGTTCTACCTTCTACTAAAGCCTGGAAACCCTTGGAAATCTAGCGCTCTCTTCCAATTCATCGAGAATAGTATACTTAAAGCTTCCATTCAACTCTAATCTCATGTGTTATAGGAATATTTATTTCTGGATTTCTCTTATTGGAGAAGCTATAATTAATAACGTCAGGAGATTACACCCGTTGTTTTCGGCAGACAACGTTCGTCTTGATCCAGGATGGCCATTAGTAATGGGTCAAGTTTCATCGGTAAGAAGAATTCTGAGAATAAAAGCATTTGCAATGCAGAAAACTGGAGTAAAATATTTGAGGCTTTCACGACCTGGTTCTTCATGGTTGGTACTAACTGAGGTTTTTGGCTGTAACTCATGCCGGTTGAATAAGATACTTCGAAGTTTCACCAGTGCAACAATGTACTTGCAACGCAGAAAACTGGAGTAAGATATTTGAGGCTTCACGACCTGATTCTTCATCGTTGGTACTAACTGAGGTTTTAAGATTGAAAATCTTTTTATTTTCGAATAGCCGAAATTTATAAAAGATATAACGATATAGAAAAATTTCTCACGATTACTGTGTTCGATGAATACTTATTCTGAGCCGTGATTCTTATTAATATTTAATCGAAGACTGAATGTTACTATATGCATTGCAAATAGTCAATTAATTCGGAGATATACATATTTAATGCATTTTAAAGTTTCAGATTACTATACCAATGTTTTTCGAGAAAGTAATATTTCTGAACATGAAAAGTTGAGAAAAAGTAATCGTGAAATATTTTTCTATATTTTAGTATCTATTGATTAGAACAGTTAAAACTTAATATCTCCGACATAATGAAACATTTGTGATACATACAGTATTTTTCAGTGTTCGATTAAACATTAATAACAATTACGGTTTAGAGTAAGAATTCATACGAGACATTAATCGTGAGAAATTTGTCAATATTTTGATATCTATTGAATATTAATTTCTGACAATAATAGGGAAACAATGATAGGGAATATGATTTTGCTGTGATATTAATGTTTCACAAATTATTTTTTCGATTCTTGTTCGTCCTTCCCCTTTTCTACTTTGAGACGCACAAACGAGTCGCGACCGTCGACCGAGACAGATATATGAGGAGTGGGAGTTCATTCCTCGACGATCTTTCGGTCGGTATGGATCTCGTGATCACGCGTCCGCGTCCCACGTCTCTCCTATTTGTAGTTTCCCTTAGTTATCGTAGCTTGGTATTGGTTGTATCTTAGTTTGGTTTGGTTAGTTTCAAGGCATGCGTGTACGAGTGTCTCCTCTGACAAATAATTATTAATCATTTGTTCAATTCTTTTGTTTGTTCGTAAGTCCATATTGGACTCACAACTCCGTTCTTCACTTTTGTTACTATTACTTCATGTCGGCGTCGGTCGTCTTCCTCTCGAGTCCAAATCCAACAAGAGGAAACGGGACTGACTCTGTAAGTTCAGTTTCATGGTCGCGTCGCGTCGCGATCTCAAGACTTAGACTTTGAAAATCGAAGGGAATTTTCTTTTCCTTTGATTTTCATCGTTTTGTACTTAGTACTAAGCTCGTCGACTGTAGAGTCGATGTAGAGTATGCATCTATGTATGTATACTCTATCTAGAGGGAGATCGAAGGAACTTTGATTCCTTCTATCTCCGGGTCTCCAGTCGCAGCAACCTCCACGTGGTGAGATCTGGTAATCCGTATTATTCGTGACGAACAATCTTTCGTCGCGAGTAATACCGAGCTAATGGCTGCGAACTTGTAATAAGATCTTTAGATATAAAAAGTGTAAAGTGTAAAGTGTAAAGTGCAAAAATGTAAAGTGTAAAGTGTAAGTGTAAGAAAGGATATCCTGTCGCGGGAAATCATTAAGTATGGTGCCGGTTCGCGATAAGTTAGTCGTGAGATATCTTGTCACTTTATTTTCAATCTCTCCAATCCTTGTGCGTGTGCAAAGTCTATAAATTTTTTGATATAATCCGTGTTCTTTGGATAAAATACTCCGAAGTTTCACGAGCAGTGCAGCTAGGTACTTCTGAGGTCAATCAATGCGTCATTTAACCTCTGAAGAAGCTAGTTGCAATGTTCGCGAAATGTCAAAGTATCTTAGAATCTGGCTTAGTATCAACCATGTAGAAGACTAGAGTTAAATGAGCTTTCAAGTATAAGGCCTCGATGAAGTGAATAACGAAAAGAGGACTATTGAGGTCAATGAGTGTCTGGTGTCTGGTTAGACTAGCTTAGGACAGAACACAGTCCAGTGGTCCTAGGACCTAGAGATAAGTCTTTGGCTCCGAAGTGCCAGTTTGGCACTTCAACTGTCCTTGAACTACAACGTACAATTTATTCTAGGACGACATTTAGTTTTAAAAATAAAAATTGAAACTTGAAAGTCCTCTTTCCCGAAATTCAATTACATTATATAATATAAATTGCTGTAATTTGTTCGAATGTCATTGAAATTATTTTAAATTTCGTATAGGTGCGTAGTAAGATATACTGATGCTTATTAATCTATCAAAAAATTGAAAATCCATTACTGTCTATTAATATTTAATTGCAAATGAGTAATTGTCAACTAACGATGGTTTTCATTTTCATTGTTAAAAAGTGTCAAACGAAGAAAGAAGTTTTAAGTATTCAATTTTTATTTTTAAAAGTAAACGTCTGATGGATAAACTGTGAATATAAAAAAGTTGCGTCTTTTCAATCTCTATAAGGTGATATTTATTTTAGATTCGACCAATCAAGTGTTGCGCTCCTTAGAATTTACAATAAAAATCGTCCCTCATTCAAAGAGTTAATGGTGCTTCTTAAATAAATTTAAGTAAGTAGGTAGAAATGGACAACTGTAACGAATGATAACAACAAATGATGGACGACAAATTGATGACTATCTTCATCAATCTAATCGATCTTTTTGTGCTTTGTGTAATACATCATCAAACTTGTATCAAACTGCTATCTCAAGAATTTGATGGTAACAACAGATTACACGTGACTAATTTTTGTTAATAATCACGTTTATTATACATTGTGAAATCACTTTCTGTTAACGGAACACACGTTACCGTGAAATCTAATGAAATCTAATTCCTTCCGTATCTAATTTCGTGTATGATAGACATAGAAGATTCTTTCACCTTGAGCTCACGAATCTCAGACCAATAGTGAAGGTCTACCTCAACATAAACAACAGCGTTCATAATTGCTGCCTTTTTCAACTCGTTCGTGCATATGGGTACACTCGCGGCATCGCACCGTTGTGCAATTGTCGTGTCGAGGAAAATTATTTTTTATTATCTATGTACGCCACTAACCGCAAGAACGAGTGCACAAGCAGCGATGCCATGTGGCCACGTAGCGAAGGATTCGCGATTATACACTCCCAGACAAAAAGATAGCACACCTGTGCTATTTCATATGACACCACTACCACAACAAAAGTATACATATTTCTCATAATAATATATATACAAAACTATATTTTCCTAATAATGCATAGAACCCTCTTTACTTTCTATAATTTCCACCATCCTTTAAGGTAAAGAATTACATATATAGTTGTTTAATTTTGATTTGTGTAATTTTTGTTAATGGTTGTTTACGAACATCGTAATAATAATACGTACATCCGTCTGGGTCATCAAGGGTGAACCGTTTCGCATCCGTAAGGATGACTTTTCTCCAAGTCTTCTTCCAAAGTACATGCGCATTTGCAAATAACAACAGTGTCTCCTTATGTTTTGCGTTTAGTGATGGTTTCGCCATTAATCTAGTCCAATTTATAATGCCTAGTCTGGAGTCTTCATGACGAACATTTTGCATATTTGTTTCTACGCCAGCTTTCTTAGCGATCTCTCTCGCAATTATTATTGCTCGTGTATCGCGTTTAGATAATGCTGCTGGTCTTCCTGTACTTTTATTTTTTCCATATGCACTTGTATATTCCGGCAAATTATGCAATAACTCTTCAAGTGCGACTACTTTCTTTTGCAATTTGAGTAATGGGTAACTTTTGTTTCCGCAGAGCTAATATTACACTAATGTCACTTTCACTAAACTTTTTGTCACGACCCATTACGAGGATAGCGATATAACAAAGCTCTAGAAATTGAATGTAATAACTCCATGAAAATTCACGGAACACTGAAGAATATGTACACCTAATTCAAGGGTGCTATCATTTTGTCTGCGTCGGATTATGTATTTCTTTTCGAACTAAGGGAACTCATTGAAGTTAAGTCAATCTATGTTATGTTTACATATTCGTAGAAGGTACATTTTACATATAACTCAGAGTTTCCACGCTAGCATAATCTTAACACAAGATATTAAAGATAGCACAGATGTGCTATCTTTTTGTTTGGGAGTGTATATGTAACAACAAAGGGAAAGACGACAGAAAAATACGAATAAACGATGAACCGCGAATTCACGTGCACGATTTATCGTATCCTCTGACCGTTCGAGTTGACGTGCAGTTAGGCTACCCGAGAATCCATAACAGCTCGTTGCGAATTAATCGGAACGATTCTCGTGTCAATTCACTGAAAGTCTGACAGCAGCCAGAACAGGGGTGCGGTGATTAATTCACGCAAAGTTGTCCGACACCGCGCTCAACGAGTAAAACCGCGACTAAAACCGTACAAATTTCATGCGCACCGACAGCAACTGATACCGTAGAGATCAGTGCATTCGCAAACTATTGGGAACGTTCAGAGTTGAGTAAATTTTATATCGAACGAGAGATAGAAATTTCAGATTTATTCACGAGGATGAAAACAAATGAATCAGGCAGCGGTTCTTCTTGAGATAAACGAGTCGTGTTACTTGGAAGAGGATAGTGGCTGGAGGATTTAATTGCTTTTGGATGTATGGAACTTTTATTGTTTATTTGGTATAAAATTTACTTAATCTTCTATGGGCCGAATTTTTTTTCTACAGAAAAACTGCAAGGCGTTTACTTTAATAAGTGAAGATTGATAGTGTTGCTAACCGTCATTAAAATAGTTATTGGTTATGAGAGATACTATACAGGGTGTTTCCTACTTTTCCGGAAAGATTGTAGGAACATGATCTACAAATAAAAAAAAAAAAATGTTATCTTCTAGCAACAAAAATTTCAACATTTTAATTTATCTTCCTTGACCAATATAAAATATCGTCGCGAAGCTTGAACTGCCTGTGAGAGGATAGTGGCTGGAAAATTCATTTGTTTTTATTCTGACGAGTAAACGTAGCACTTTTATTCTTCATTCAGAATAATATTTGCTCAGCTCTGAACACGACCCATCGAGAAGTCATGAAATCAGTACAATAGAGAGAAACGAGTAAAGATACAGTAGAATTTTCAGTGTATAGTAATTGATAGATATAGGAACCTTTGCGGCGAAATAAAATCGAAATCGCTTTTTTCATCGAATAGTTTGAATTCTCAAAAGTAATATAAAACGTGTCCCATCAAAAAAGTCGCGCTAGTGACCAAAATGTGTCGCTTAAAATGATTGTCTGTATGCGGGTGATGCGCCAAACATTAAACGCGTTTCTCTCGAAACGCTGGCATGCTGGCGTCAGTGATAAATCAAATATCGTTAATCCAATTTCCATGATATCTGACACAAAAAAAATACTTTTCAAAAGCTTATTGTGTAATTTATTTTTGGAACGAAAATTCATTTCAATTAAACGTACAGTACTGTTATAAAAAAATGGTGAAAAGTACCCTCAACTTTGACGCTGCAAAAGTGACATAATCCTTCAAAGAGGTAAGCTAAAATAATCGGGAAAATATTTGAAAATTTAAGAGTTCGAGAATTCCTTTCCTAGAAGTAATAAAAGTAAATTAAGAAGTATTCATCCATCATTCGATATTTTTCAAATATCGAAAGTATTGAAGTTCTAGGTATTGAAGTTCTAGCTTCACGAGGCACATGATGATTCCAGAATTAAGTGAAACTTCATGAAATGGCGCACCGCGGGGCAGCGACACGAAAGTCGTCAGAGATCTCGTCAACTTTCTACACGCCAATCGGAATGAATTAAGCGGACACGATGAATTCGCAACGGCGATGTACGCGAAATTGGAAACGCCAGTTACTGCAAGATTGTGCTGCAGTAATTAAGCGAGCCGGCTGTACGCGTCGAGTCGTCTAGGGACGACAATTAAAGTACCACAGTAATGACCATTATTAATATCGTTCGTTGTCGTTAAGTACAGTCGGGTTCGTCTCGGAGGCCAACATCTGAAATATAACAGGCTTGCTCTTGCCAACAGCTTCAAGACGCGTGAACCGCACAAGGAATATCACGTTCAGGGATAACCTTGGGTATCGTGTATCGAGAATAATTCTGTATAATTCTTCGTTCGACCAAATATGAGATTAACCATTTGAAGTCCTGAGTCGAGTCTGACTCAACGTCGTGTTTCTTTGAAGTCAGTCCTATCGTGTCGAGTTTACCTCAACGTAGGAGTTTATCATACAATTGCGTGCTTGGAAATCTAAGGATTTACAGTCCTTGAAAAACTTGACTAGAGAAAATAAATAAAATTTAATTTGTTTTCTGATTCACTTCAAATAACAATTAAAATTGTTCTGTGTGTACAATGATTCTTCTGAGGGGTGTTTGCGCAAACATGAACGTTGTGTTTCTTAGCTTTTTAAATGTTTTATCACGTGGAAATTGTCATTATAAACGTAAACAAATATGTATAATTTAATTTTTAAGTAAATCTTGTTTTTCGTTTCCTCCCTCAATTTTAAAGTTATTTAATTAAAAACAAATAAAATATATAACTAAGTATATGTACTTCATAGTGTGCATACCTCCATTTCGAAGAAATAAATAGTCTCGGAAATAAAAATTCTGAAGAATGATCTTGACTTTGACCGTCTAGACCAAACATGGCCAACATACAGCCGGCGCAATGAATTTACAGTTGGTGTAGAAAGTATTCGTGCACCGATCATTTTCTAAGAAACTACATGAAATTGTAATTTATTAACTTATTTTTTATTATCAATGATATTCTACATACTCTTAGAAATCTCTAGAATAGACAAAGTACAAAAAGATTAGTTATTTATATAAAGTAACGAAATTTAAATTAACTAAATGTTGACATTATTTCGGATGAAATTTTCTTCCATTTCCCTATTTACTGGAAATTTGATGTTTTCTAGTTCGTACGGAGCAATAAACTAATGTGTTTACGTTACAAACTCTACTGTAAATGGTTCGTCATAAAAATCGTATAAATATTTATTGCTTCTATACTTTTACCCACTTTTCGCATTTTTTTGTTAATTTCACAAATTATATTAATTAGTAAATGTTGTTTGGACTATATCTATTTTAGAAATTTCCAAGAATATGTAAAATATCATTGGTTATAAAAAAAGAAGTTAAGAAAGTACAATTTCAGACAAAACTTGTTGAGAAATTGATCGGTGTACGAATACATTCTACACCCACTGTATGTGGCCCGCGAACAATTTTTCAATATTAACATTTAACTTCTAGTACTTAATCAAATGAATTCTCGATACTTCTATACAGGGTGTCCCAAAAATGTTGTAACACCTTGAAAGGGGTGGTTCGGGAGGTGATTTGAAACAAGTTTTTCCTTAGCGAAAATGTTGTTCGAGGCTTCGTTGAGGAGATATTAACGGAAAACGTCGATCAATCAGAGCGCCCGTATACCGTTGGAGCGGCCGTGGTAGCGAAGGCTACGTGCTAAGCGGCTGCGTCAATGTCCTTGGAAGTTCCATGCATATCGTGTCACTTGTTCACATGCAAGCGTGACCGCTTAGTGCGTAGCCTTCGCTACCACGGCCGCTCCAACGGCATACGTGCGCTCTGATTGGTCGACGTTTTCCGTTAATATCTCCTCAACGAAGCCTCGGACAACATTTTCGCTAAGGAAAAACTTGTTTCAAATCACCTCCTGAACCACCCCTTTCAAGGTGTTACAACATTTTTGGAACACCTTGTATTTTTTGAAAAAGATTCCGTTATGATGAATTAAAACATATATTACTTATTACTTTTTTACTTATATTTTTATTTCCAATCCAGCCCGAGGGAAGAAACAGTTATCCAATCCTTTATACCGTATCATACAAATTATAGACAGCATCGTTATTCAAGATCCTCGCGTAACAGCCACGTTGCTATAATTACGGAATTATTAAGCTACCTCACCTTGATACATTAGCACTCTAATATCTCGTTACCTCAAGAAAATCGTGCCGAGACGTATCCGGTAATTATGAAACAATTCACAGGCCATCGATTATATTGCGAATTTAATTTGCGATCTTTAAATCGTAATCGGCGAGCGATTAAAAAGCTATGCAACTCACCTTAAACAATTCGCAAGCCATCGTGCTAGACGATGATACTATCACGCCACGACGTTTCTCGTGCTTTGGTTACACCGTTCACCAGCCAGGATTTCTGCAATTTGCCAGAGACAATCGTCGTTTCTAACAGCTCGACTCTCTCGACCACGTGACAAAGCGAGCAGGGAACGTGCAACGTGAACGAGCACGGATGCAAACGAAGGAATCAATGGGATTTCCAACGCGGTGTGATCACTGACGTATCCAGAAATGTGAGGAGCCACGCGCTTCCTCCTGATGATGAGCCTGTCCTTAGACTCGGTACAAGACGATGTTGTACGCTGAGAACCTGTAAAATAAAATACAAACTTGTTAGGGAGTACTTCCTTCTTTCCGTTAATTGACTTAACGTATGTGAATATCTGAAAATAATGAGTAGATTGTGGATTTTAACGCAAATTATTATATTCACAGATAGTGAAAAAGAATTGAAACTTTAATGAAAGTATATTTTATTTTCTAAACGGTATGACGTGCATATTGTTGATATATTTTATATATTTTTGCATTTATGCACATTCTCGTGTATTTTGCTATATTTTGAGTTGTCATGAATGGGTAAACAATTAAACATTCGCAATTTATCTATATAAATAAAATTGAAGTGTTTGTCTGTCTGTTTGTTTCGGCTAATCTCCGGAACTACCGAACCGATTTTAAACATTTCTTCAGTAATATGAAGCTACACTATCTCTGAGTAACATGGCCTATGGTTTATTTTTATAAAAATACGTTTCCAATTTGAAATTTCAAAAGTTGTATCATTGTTATACTCACAATAGAAATATCGATTGAAACATCTGAGTTATGGAAAAGAAACGACAGTCATCTACTGATTCACGAAGGAACGCGGCTGAACAGTCAGTCGAACGCGAATCACATACAATAAATAGTATTCTACGCGGGTGAAACCACGGGGCACAACTAGTCTGATAATAAGATTTTATGATTTTTTTTCCCTAAAAAAAAGGTGGTCATTATCCCATAACAGAAAATGTAAACATTAAAAAGTTAAAATATGATACATACATGTTTTTGTACATATTTGAACTTCACAACAGTGTAATCATATCTACTTAACCTTTCGACTGCAAAAGGCGCATATAAAAGCGTAAAGAACGGCGAGGAATATAATTTTGTTGTAATATTAATGTTTCGTGAATTCTTTTCTCGATGGATCCAACCAGCATTCGCCAGTGTCATAGAAACTGTGTACATCTCGAATTACAAAGTTTGATAATTCAAAATTCAAAAAAGTTTGCAAAACCGTATCATAATTAAAGAAAATGAGAAGGGAGGTTTCAATAACAAGAAGCATTTTAAGTTAGTGATTTCAGGTTTCGGGTTGTCTAGAAAGTTCGCGGCAATATTTAAACAAAATTCAAAGGCACATTGGAATTTTGATATATATTTATCGAATTACATAAGTACCATTTTGTTCCACAACCTTCTTACCTTTTAATAGATAATACAGTGGGTGTAGAATGTATTCGTACATCGATCAATTTCCCAAAAAGATTTTGTGTGAAATTGTAGTTTCCTAACTTCTTTTTTGTAATTAATGATATTTTACATATTCTCGGAAGTCTCTAAGATAGATATAATCCAAACAACATTTACTAGTTAATGTAATTTGTAAAATTAACAAAGAAAATGTGAAAAGTGGGAAAAAGTATAGAAGCAATCAGTATTTTTACGATTCTTATGACGAACCATTTACAGTAGTGTTTGTAACGTAAAGACATTAGTTTATTGCTCTGTACGAATTAAAAAACATCAAATTTCTAATAAAGTACTTTTAAAAATGGCTCTAATAGTGGAACTGAAGAAGATCCCTATTCGAATAACTAATAATTTAGTTATTTTAATGCTTTAGACGAGTTGCCATAATTATAACATCAAAAGGAAATCCCTACGAAGGAAGTATTATATACATTTAAATTAATGTAAATTTCTTTTTTTTTTAATGGAGTTTTAAAAACGAAACAGTTGTGCAAATACTTATTGCTTCAATATTTCTATCGATTAATTGTTTTTTTCTTGTTAATTTCGTAACGTACATAAATAGCTACTTTTTTTGTAATCTATGTATTCCAGAGATTTCCGATAATATGTAGAATGTCATTGTTTATAAAAAATAAGTTAATAAATTACAATTTTTCATAGCTTTTTTGGAAATTGACCGGTGTACGAATACTTTCTACACCCACTGTATGTTATTTGTTTTTAACTATTCTGATATATTCAGACCTGTACCACGTATCAAAAATCGACAAGAACTTTCCAGACAACCCAATAGTTATCACAAATTTGTGCTTTATGTTCTGTAATAACGAGAAAAATTGGTGAAGTACAGTTTAGATAACTCGTGAGTATTAGGAAAACATCTCTCCTATATTGTGGGTACATAGATAAGAAAAGACTTAGAATGCTATAAGCAGTTTTTACTTTATCAGTAATGCAGTGTTAAGGTCCAAACAATCTCGTATGAACACGTTGCATCGATATCTTCTACGGAACTTATTCGACGAGAAAAATGTGTCAATTAAATATAAACGATATCAAACGACCAACACAAAATGATTGATCGTTTTACTGTCGTTGTCGAAGTCGATGGCATGAAAGATGTAATATTGTTTCCTAAAAGATTAACATTCTTAATGACTAACGATTACTCGGTAATCATAACTAACAATTAATATACGTATAATTGTGACTAATAAAAGTAATTTTCTCAGAAATTACTTGTCAATTGCGATAACTTGCGAAAATGACTTTTTAACGACTAATTTATTCCGACTAATGATCGGTCATAATTTTAGTCTTCAATTTTGACTAAATATTCCTAACTTTGTCATAGTCTTCAGATCACTGAACAAACTAACGTAAACTTGTTAATTAAATCAAAATCTCTCAACGAGTTATGGAGTATGGAGTATGGAAGAATACTCCATCGGATGTCCACGCAATTGGAAGATTGCTGTCTGACACGGTGCAATTTATACTCGGTTCTCGGATTATTCAGGGAAACTGTCCTCTGATAATGTTGCGCAATGCGTTTACGCAGCCAAAAGACAAAAAAAAAAGAATGAACAACGATTGTCATTCGATGAACGCGGCTCGAGAAAATTATTTCAGAAGCATAAACGATTGATTGCAAAACAGAGAAATGATGTATCCTCGTTCCGTGGTGTCCGAGCGTAAAGAATGCACGCTGTTGAATATACTCTGAACACCACGAAAGAAAAGCTCTCGGTAGTTGATGAAACGTTGAATGCGGCTTCGCACAAAGACGCCAGTAAACACGGTCGAGTGATGTGTAATTACAGCCCGAAGGTGTAATTTCCAATACGACCTTGCTTGGCTACACCGACCGATCGAGGCGCAATCTTCACAATAGTTCTCCTTTTATTTTATTTATTTATTTATGTATGTAAGGAGCACACACCTTATATTAAAAAAGAAAAAAAAGAATATAAGTGCAGGTATGTCCTTGACTTGTAGGGTTAATTGCGTTTTCGATGGTTAAACTGTCCTATGTGATGCATTTAACCCTTTACACTCGAATGTCACTCACTAAGCTTCATTATAGGGAAAAGCCTACCTAGGATGGGTACGAAAAAGGTGCATGTCTACCAATATTTTTTTGGACAAACAATACATTTTCGGGTAATGAGTTTTAATTTTTCCCGAAAGAACATTCTATTTGAACATTAGTGCATGTGTCGCAATTTTTGTATTTAAAAATATTTTAAATTAACAAAGTTGTAAAAGTCAGTAGCGATGTCGTTTTTTACATGAGTATTCCGCAGTGGCCGCTCTACAGAGCTGCTTTAACACTTTGGCCTATGATTTACTGTAGGATCGTGCGTGCCATAATCAGGTATAAAATTCGTTGCGTACTTTCATATGACGGGCTTCTGACTCGTGCTTTTCATGTTCGATTCAAATTTTATACCACGAGTCTCACACGTTTGTTATAGGTTAAAGAGTTAATAATATCAATAAAATTGAATATTAAATAGAGATCAATATACAAATACTATTGATAGGCAATTATTCAAACGAATAAAATTAATTCAAAAGAAAAAATATATAAATATCTAAATTGATCGTAATCAGCATTTTTTATTCTTAATGATAACTCAGAATAAAAAAAATCAAAATTAAAATAAATCTATATATTAATCATTTCTAACCTTTACGTTTGTGCGCTTCTAAACGATGAACGAAATTACTATCTTATCAAACGTATTATAATGGTAACAATAATTATCACAACAATGACTCATCAAATACATACTGCAGTAATTACGGACACTATCAGCATTCTTATTATAAGTCTAATCATCCGAGACAAAAATAGTCATTGAAACCACACGAGTTGTGAAAAGATAATGGACCAACGCATTCCATTCTAATTACAGTTTGATATTACAAGGTTAAAAATGAAATTTTAATTCGAATAATGGATGATGCATAAAAACACAATATTGTGATTAATTTCAGATATTTATTCGATTGAACAACTAACTCAAAATATTACTTCATTCTATAATGTTAAATTAAAAATAATTTATTATTCACGTAATATATATGCACAAAATAAGCGATATACTTTTTATGGATAAACAGAACATAAATAAATCTGGATTGCTTTGTTAATACACATCGTCATACATACAATGGAACAAGAAAAAAAAAAAATATAATTTGATTGTTAACCGCTTCCCGTACTTTGACGAGTCTGATTCGCGATGAAGACTTTGGCCCAAACATGATCCAAATATTACGAGCCAGGCTCATAAACAAATAGTCGGGCCAAACATAACCATAAGTTTCCGACCATAGTTTCGTCGAGTTAAGTGGTACGGGAAGGGTTTAATTGTCATTTTGATTTGTTCGTATAGTTTGAACTCAAATTTTTATTTAATGTAAGATATGATATTTTAAAGATCATATTAATAAACGTAAAGTCGTTTATCTTTAAATTATTATTTAGACACAAAATCTAAATTCTGTTTAAGAATAGTGTTTACAAGTCTCCTATACAGAGTGTCTACGTATAAGTCCAGACATACGCGGGGTGACAATTCTACAACAAATTTCCAATAAAAAGTTACTCTTAGACATTTTCTTTGTGTCGCCTTATTCTCGAGTATTTTCACTTTTAATATTTTTTCTGCGTTTTCGACTTGACACTCTTTAAACGGGTATAATTCCACCAAATTACAATGCAAACTTAAAACTAAAAATACCATTCAAAAGAGCATTAAATTTGCCATCTCC